GGGGCGGCTGGGGGGACGGAACTTGCAGGGGGGGACGGACCTTGGAGGGGAGGGCCCAGCAGGGGGGAAAACTGACGAGTGGGCTGCTCTACAAGTGATCCGGGCAGATCACTTGTACAAAAATGAGCAGCCCAAAGCTATTTAACAAGTTAAAGCGTCGGCATCAGCGCTATGTATCGGGGCATCTCCACGAGTATAAGTACTCGTGAAAGTGTCCTGTATTGGCACCGATGTTGATACTAGTATCTGTATTGGTGCATCCCTATTTTTTTATTTAGATACCAAACTCTCTATGGATAGCTGCTAAGGAGGAAACCAACAGGCTTGAATAAAGGAGATTTAATATTAACGCAGTTGCATTTTGGTTCATTAATACAAGCAGCATGTCAAAGTAACACAAGCATAGAATTTTTTTAATAATTATCCATGTGTCCATGGACACATGGATATAGAACCTATATGTGTAAGCGAACACCAGGAACATGCAGTAAACCCCACCTGTAGGACTGCTGGCAACTAAAATGTAACTTTTATAGAAAGTACATAAAACAGTGAATTATTCATATATGAGCTACAAGGACACATTTCATATACAATCAATTTCACAGGGGCCTTGTCAAAGTGTTTGTATACAAAACTAATTGAAGTTTATTGTAGCCCACAAACTGCGTATTTGCAATTTTATAGACTTCCTCTTACAGTTATGTTTTAATCAGCAATCTTCTTCAATGTCCTAATATATTCATGTGAATCTTGATTTACCAGTAGAGTTTCTTATCTTTATGAAGATTACATATTCGCTTTTTGCCACCTTGCTCTTGGTCTAAAAGACCAACTAAAATAGAACTAAAACATATTGCAGCTTGTTGTTTGTGTATTTTCCTGTGCATTGCATAGCTTTTAGGACCCTCTCTCCAAAATGTACAAATCTCAGATAATCCACCTTTTCATTCTGTCATATCAAGCATAATTTTACCTCAAATCTTTCAGCATATGTAGATTACTTACTACAGAAACACATTTTGGTTACCTAAATTGCTCACTTGGGTTTTCAACCCACTTTATCAATAACATCAAAGCATATAATTAGGAACATATTGATCACAGTGGATATTTGGTGGACATTAAACATAGACAATAGGCATAGCATAAGAACAGTAACATTGTTCCTATTCCAAGACCTGTTAATGCCTTAAAATCACTACCTTTTCATTTTGCAGATCAAAGAATTTGAAATGCATGTTTTACCATCAGACAAGTTGTACCACTATGGGAACCAAATGCACACACAGTTATGCTAATTTCTTCTGAGAATCCCATCTCTGATTAGGATTTGATTACTGGGAAGTTTGTGATAGTGTGTTTATCTTGTGTAAATTGTAAATTTCGGGCATGTCTGTTTTCTGCGTATCTACAGAGTACTGGACTGAGAATTCCACTTTTTCTTATGTTTGGATTTAACAGGATGTACACTAGGTGGTTTTCTGTGCTAGGGAATTTTGTGTTATCAACCCATGTGGTTGGATTTTTTGCTAAATAGGCCAACTAAGGACTGCAAAGGGCTCAGAAGTATAGTTGTTAAGGTATATTGCAGCTTTTGATTTATGATAAATGTTGTGTATCCAATGTTTGAATTTATCCCAAAAAACTAATATTTTTAAACATTCTATTGAATGGATAATTTTCAGGTTTAAAACTGAAGTTAAAAAAAAACCCATAAAAAAATAATTGAAAAAACAGCGTTTGCTACAATATTCAACTTCAGTCCAGAGCTGTCCCCCACAGTACGTATTGTTCTCCTCAAGATGTTCTCAGTCTTTGGACTGTATGACAACCAGGGTAATTTCATCCACTTCCTCTGGACCTAGGCTGTCACAGATTTGCCCCCTGGAATAGCATCCAGTGGCAGTCCAAGATCACTGGACTACTACACTAAAGGGCTGTCCTAGGTCATGTGGGCTCTGTTCAGTGCAGCAATAAGGACTGCTTCCACTAGAGGAGAAGACACATGAATTAATTTTATCGGCCAGAAGACCCTTTGGAAAAAAGCGTTTAATGGTTCAGTACACTTGACAAGGTGCATTTAAAGGTTTACAGGCAGAGCCGGTGCTAGTGCACAAGCAGCTGACATAACACTGGACGAGCTACCAATGGAAACATGGTATAAAATGCAAATTTGAGCTTTTTTTATCTAAGTATATTCTTAAATATCCATAAACTGTAAAAACTATTTTGTGTATACTAAGTGCATTTGGAAACCCAGATATTGCTTTGAAAAAAATAACAGTGACATCATCACTGTGCTATACACAGTAGCACAGGCAGATACTAGACCAGCCAAAGGGCAGGAGCCGTTTCATATCGGATTAATACACAGATCTGGAAGAAACACACAAAAAGCTCCACAAGTAAGGATAAACATGCCTCTTGTATTTAGACAATATTTGTTTAGCATGGAGTTCTAAGAATCTCCTCTCGATCTCCATTACAAGAAATGTAAGGACATCTTGGTTCCCCATCTTACACGCCTTTTTAAAAGTGATCGGCCGAACAGGCCCGAGTTCAGTTTGAATTCGAACTTTAGAACATCCAAAAAGTTTGAAATCAATGCAAGTCTATGGGGGTAGAACTTTCAAAAACAATTGTGCCCTTTAAGAGGGTTTATATGCAAGTTATTGGCCATAAAAAGTGTATGGGGACCGGGGTATTGCACTTTTAAAAAATACAGTTTTTAAAGGAGCAGTGATTTTAATAAACATTTTTTTTTTTTTTTTTTAAAGCATGCGGTTCCCCCTTCCAAACAATACCAGACCCTCTAGGTCTGGTAGGAATGTAAAAAAAACAACAAAGTGTGTGGGGTTCCCCCTTAAAGTCATACCAGGCCCTTAAGGTCTGGTAGGAATTTTGAGGAACCCCGCCCCCAAAAATGTGGGGAAAAAAACATGGGGTCCCACCTAAAATTACATACCAGACCCTTGATCCAAGCACAGGCCTCGGCACTGGAGAGGGTGCTTTTTCCGGGGGTCACCCAGATGCGGGCCCCCTCTTGTGAATGAGGTACCCCTACCCATTCACTAAAGGGTTAAAATAAATTGAAATAAAAAGTCCAGACTTTATTAAAACAAAAGAAAAATTAATCCACTGATGTAATCCAGGGTCAATTACAGCGTCCAGCGTTGTCTGCGACGACTCGATGAAATAAAACAATAAAAAATAAACAGAAGTAATAATTTTAAAAATGGCGACGAATGGCATTTTGACAGATGCCGGCAACTTCTAAACAATTGGGCGGAGCCAGCAGTGACAGCTAGCTCCGACCAACTGTTTACAGTTTTAACGGGTGAGCCATGATTGGGCAGAGTCATCATGACTTTGCCCAATCATGGCTCTCGCAGTTCTCTGTGCCCAATAGGAAACAGTTGGGCAGAGACAGCGGTGATGTCACTGCTAGCTCTGCCCGATTGTTTATATTTTGCCGGCATCTGTCATATTTGACAGTAAGCAGCGGGAGTTTGTCACGTGCGGTTGGGTCGTTGTGCGTCGTTTTATTAAAACATTATTTATATATTTTTTCTTTTCTTTCAAATATTTTTTTTTTTTCTTAAATTTTCCTATTTCTTTAAATTTGTAAAAAAAAAATTCAACTTTTTTTTTTCATTCATTTAAATAGTTTTCTATTTTGCTCGCTACCTCGGAGGTAGCAAGCAGAATAGCAGGAGTGGCATTCAGCTATTCACGCATTGCCGTTTAGCCCCTATGAGAATAGGGGTAAACGCTAGCCGGAGCTTCGGCTCAGACGACCCAGATGTTGGATCGGCTGAGCCGAACTACTTCTGCACTTCGGCTCAGCCGAACATGCAGAGCAAAGGCTGCCGATGT